GTTATTTTTCTTGTTGCTAGGCAGATTTTAAACACAAAATGCATCAAAAACACGGAAAAAACGCACAATACATGCTTTTCTGCAGCGTTCCCATTGAAGTCTAAAGAACCAAAGACGCAACATTTTGCGTTCAAAAAAGCCTCTGACCCTTTCCAAAAAATGCACTGCGTGAAAACGCGGAGATGTGAACCTGTCCCATAGGAAATCATGTTACATGGACTGTACTATGTTTTTGCAAAATGCTGCAGAAAACGCTTAGGTGTGAACCTGGGATAAGGCTGCGTTCACACTTGTGTGATTTGTAGCTTGAAGCTCCAAAAACGCTCAAATTAAAAAAGATCAGTTGTTCTGTGGTGCCTGTTCACACCTGATCACACAAACAGGCACCACAGAGAAAAATGGATTCTTTAAGTTTAGGCAATTTTGGAGCTTTCCCTGGGTTCTCATATATGCGGTGCGGTTTATTGCGTGTGATTCGCACAGGAACCGCACCGCATTCCTGTACACATGTGATCTGTGCAGGGGCGGACTGATCACTTGAAAACTCAGGCACTGCCCGAGGGCCCGGGGTCAGTAGGGGACCCCATGAGATGCCCCTGGTACCTTTTTCATAGGCTTTTTTGAGTTTGGGCAAGGACACAGGGGCCCCATGATCCCCTATTGCCCGGGGGCCCCATGAGTTGTCAGTCCGCCCCTGGATCTGTGTGCGGTGTGATTGGAGCCGTACATTTTATATGGCTCTAATCGCGCCCCACCCTCACCTACAAGGTGCAGGATCCTTTTTTTGGGTCCGCACTAGAATCAGATTGCATGGTATTCACACCTATACGATCCAATTCTGCACATCGCACTGCGTTTTGCAGACCGATTTCGGGGTGTTGCTAACATACACACCTGCAGCAATCTGCATGAACGGGGTGCGATTCTGACTTCACACAGAAAAACGCTGCGAATTCTGCACCGCATCAATGTGAACCCGGGCTCAAGCTACAAATCGCTCGTGTGAATGCAGCCTCAGCCCCTCCTTGTTAGGGCTCATTCACACTTGACGTATTTCTAACTCTTGCCAAACGCCCCTATATCATTGGACAGGCATTAGACAGGCATTTGGGAAGCATTTTTAACGCTCCCCAAACACCCTATGCGCAGTTTTGAGGCGTTTGATAGGTGTTTGCCAAGCGTTAAAACCGCACCACAAAAGCCTAAAATGAAGTTAAATAGTATTAACGCTTCACAACCGCCTTGCAAATGCCCCGCAAACGCCTGGCAGGAGTATGAGGAGCGGCACCATAGACTTGAATGGGAGGCTTCAACTCCTCCTGACTCCACATGAGGCGTCAGTTTTGCTGCGATGCTAAAGCTTCAGTGTGAATAGCGCTGTGTGCTGCCATGTGCAGAATTTTCAGAGGCATTTGAGAAGCGTTAAAAACGCTTCCCAGACGCCTGCCGACAAAGCTAGTGTGAACGTAGCCTTAGGAAACCAGTGCTTGAATGGTGACCCTGTTATCCCAGTGCAGCATATGTAACCATTGATCTCTATGCAATGCTAATGCAGCTCAGCAGGGGGCAGGCTATACCCATAGGGGCCCATTCACTTTAGGTTGTATTACCATGGTCCATTCGGATCGATTGGGTTCCAACACAGAAATAATTGCTCCTGATTGTTTTTGTTAACAGGACGTATCTTGAGCAGGGGGCGGACTGACCATTTGGAAACCCAGGCACTGCCCGAAGGCCCGGGGTCAGTAGGGGGCCCCATGAGATGCCCCTGGTACCTTTTTCATAGGTTTTTTTGAGTTTGGGCAAGGACACAGGGGCTCCATGATCCCCTATTGAGGGCCCGGGGTCAGTAGGGGGCCCCATGAGATGCCCCTGGTACCTTTTTCATAGGTTTTTTTGAGTTTGGGCAAGGACACAGGGGCCCCATGATCCCCTATTGCCCGGGGGCCCCATGAGTTGTCAGTCCACCCCTGATCTTGAGTGGTGGTGCACCACAGGTGCGTTGAGGTGCCTTTTAAAATGGTGATGCTCAGGGGCGGACTGACAACTCATGGGGCCCCCGGGCAATAGGGGATCATGGGGCCCCTGTGTCCTTGCCCAAACTCAAAAAAGCCTATGAAAAAGGTACCAGGGGCATCTAATGGGGCTCTCTACTGACCCCGGGCCCTCGGGCAGTGCCCGAGTTTCCAAATGGTCAGTCCGCCCCTGCGCTCATAGACAATGGGGTTGATTGACTAAAGGCAAATAGGCTGTGCACTGCAAGTACAGTAAGGGCTCGTTCACACTTGACTTTTTTTTTCTAACTCTTGCCAAATGCCCCTATAGCATTTGACAGGCATTAGACAAGCATTTGGGAAGCATTTTTAACGCTCAACAAACGCCCTACGCGCGGTTTTGTGGCGGTTGGTAAGCGTTTGCCAAGCGTTAAAACCGCACATCAAATGCCTATAATGAAGTTTAAATGGTATTAATGCTCTGCAAACGTCACCACAAATGCCTGCCAGGCGTTTGCAGAGCGGCACCATAGACTTAAATGGGAGGCTTCAACTCCTCCTGACTCGACCAGAGGTGTCCGTTTTGATGCGACGCTAACACTTCTGTGTAAACAGCGCTGTGTGCTGCCATGTGCAGAATTTTCAGAGATGTTTGAGAAGCCATTAAAAACACTTCCCAAACGCCTGTCTGACGCCTGCTGACAAAGCTAGTGTGAACGTAGCCTTACTGTGGATCTGAGGGGAACACGCAAGGAAAATAAAAAAAACTGCATTTTTGCTTGCACATGGTTGGATGAAAGAAATCCGCAGAGCTTCACCTCATTTGAGAGCTTCCCCTCGGATTCAAAGCGACTGCACTTGCAGTGCACAGTATATTCACCTTTAGTAAATCAGCCCCAATGTGTTGCAGCGATCTGCGATTATTATTACATGTATTCCCATAAGTGCCCAGTCACACCGATGGGATTTGGGAATGGAAATCGCATCTAATGAATGTGAAGGTCAGCATCTTAATGTGCGATTTCTAAAGGAGTTCTGGCATGACTTTTTCTGTCATTTTGTTGCGATTTCACATACATAGAATGGAAATCGCACTGAAAATTGCAAGAAATCGTTGGGAAATCTTCACAAGTAGCAATAAAGTCTTCAGAGATTGCACTGAAATTGCAGGATTTTAAATGGCAGCTGTGATTACAGCACGATGTGTACACACCAGGGGCGGACTGACAATTCATGGGGCCCCTGTGCAATAGGGGATCATGGGGCCCCTGTGTCCTTGCCCAAACTCAAAAAAGCCTATGAAATAGGTACCAGGGGCATCTCATGGGGCCCCCTACTGACCCCGGGCCCTTGGGTAGTGCCCGAGTTTCCAAATGGTCAGTCCGCCCCTGGTACACAAGCCGTAGGCCTCATTCATAAAGCCATTACTAGGTGCCCCTTATGCCCATCCTCAGCTTCTCTAACTTTAGTGGGCATATTGAGGATACGGATCAGGCTAGCTTCACACTGATGCTTTTTTTTTTTTTATTTTATTATACAGTTTAGGTTTTTTTTTTTTCCTTTAGGTGCTCCCATTGACGTCTATAGGGCCAAATGTTACACCAAACGCAGCGCCTGCCCTTTTTCCCCCAAGATACACATTTCATAGGTGTGAATGGGCCCCATAGACAATAATGGGATTCCTCTTGTTGCAGGACAAATCGCACAGGTGTGAACCAGGGAACATACCAAAAATCAGAGAAGCCTTAGCCCTCATGCACACTGGACGTTTTCCCACATTTTTGCTGCGTTTGCATTTTTTAGCGCTTTCTTGGGTAAAAAAGTCTAAAAACGCTGTTTTGCCGCGTTTTGACACATTTTTCAGCGTTAGAGCGTTTTTACAGCTAAAGAACTCCTCTATAAACCCACTAGTTCTGGGGTTTTTCTCCAGCCAAAAAACATGGATTACAGTCTATGTGTGCAGGGACACATAGGATAACATGCTGGGGGGTTTACTAGCTGAAAAAAAAACCATAAAAAAAAGGTCAAAAAGCCAAAAACAGCTGCTGTAGAAACATCCAGTGTGCAGGAGGACTTAAGCCGGCCATACACGGGTCGAATTCTGAAAGAATTTTCCATTCGAATTTCGCCCCATTAGTGGGTCACAGAAACAGACGATTTTGGGTGACCATCGAATCTGAGTGATCGGGCATGTTGGAAATTTTTTGAAAAACAAACGAATTTCGAATCAATGATGGGAGAATCGTTCGGGAAATATAAAGCTGTGACCTGGAAAGAAAAGAAAATTGTTGGCCATGAAAATTCTTTTCTATAGCAATAGGTGAAAGTGAAGGCTTGGTTGGTTGACTTTCAAAATCAATGGGTGGCGTAATAGGATTATACAATGCACAAAATGTCTGATTTTCTAAAGAATATTTGTTCAGAATTCGACCCATGTATGGGCTGCATTAGCCTTGCTGTGCCTGGCACCACCTTTCCTGCAATGTCTTCTCATGCTGATAGGGATGGACTGACCATTTGGAAACTCGGGCACTGCCCGAGGGCCCGGGGTCAGTAGGGGGCCCCATGAGATGCCCCTGGTACCTTTTTCATAGGCTTTTTTGAGTTTGGGCAAGGACACAGGGGCCCCATGATCTCCTATTGCCCGGGGGCCCCATGAGTTGTCAGTCTGCTGGATGCCTAGCAGGCCCATTGACTGGCATCACTCACCCAGCAGGTGCCCCAATAGGGAAGGTATTGGAGTGCTGTAAAGTCACCAAGCACACGTCTCTCCATTATTGTAACGTCTGCAGGACCTTTTTCCGTCTACACTGAATGGGTTAACCAATAATCATCATTTTGATCATTGTAATAAGCTGGGTCTTCCCCAGATCAGGAGGCCTCAGCTGGTATCATACTTCCCCATTATCAGCGGCTGGTGCTATATAGGCCATCCAGGGAACCAGCTCCCAGCCCCACAATAGAGGTTAGGTGTGCATTGTGAGGTTGTAGAGAGAAGAGGAGAAGATGACTGACAAGGGAAAGCCCCATCTGAACATTGTCATCATTGGCCATGTAGACTCTGGGAAGTCCACCACCACTGGTCATCTCATCTACAAGTGTGGCGGGTTTGATCCCAGATCTCTGGAGAAGCTGGAAGCGGCTGCTGGCCAGGTAAGGAAGAATCTGGGTTATGGTTTATCTTTGTTCTGGTTTGACTACCTGAGAACTAGTGGGCAGCATAGTGGCTAAATGGTTAGCACTTCTGCCTGGCAGTACTAGGGTTGTTGGTTTGAATCCCAGCCAGGGACAGACTGACCATTTGGAAACTTGGGCTCTGCCCAAGGGCCCGGGGTCAGTAGGGGGCCCCATGAGATGCTCCTGGTACCTTTTTCATAGGATTTTTTGAGTTTGGGCTAGGACACAGGGGCCCCATGATCCCCTATTGCCCGGGGGCCCCATGAGTTGTCAGTCCGCTGCTGATCCCAGCCACGGCATCACCTGCGTAGTTTACATGTTCTCCCTGTGCCTGCATGGGTTTCCTCTGGGTACTCTGTTTTCCTCCCACACTCCAAAGACATGCTGGTAGGGCAATTTGCTCCTGTCTAAATTGGCCCTAGTATTTATGAATGAGTTGGACTACTTTTGCAGTAATCTGCGTTTTTGCGACAGGCGTTTTTGCTGTGCTTTTGAGTATTTTTTTTTTAAAGGACCGGTAACTTAAAACTGCACTAAACTCTTCTCAGAGGTGCTTTTCAGGTGTTTTCCATTGATTTAAATAGTAAGAGGTGTCTTTGGGGCTTTTTACTCCCCAAAGATGCTACAAGCGGAGGTTTTACACCACAAGCGCAACGCCTCAGTGTGAAACCAGACATAGATATACATTCACATATATAGGGAAGCGTTTTTCTCGAGCTTTTCAGGTGCTTTTTATTAATGCAAAAACTCTTCTATCTGAAAGTAGGGATCCTATGCCTCTTGAGGGTTAGTGCTATACAAGTACCTGAAATAAATAAAACTGAGATTTCTGGGACGTTCGCCTATCATGTCTGTGTTCTAAATGGGGTCTGAACTGATGTAATGCAGCAGATCTTAGACTGTCCACTGACCCTAAAGAGAACCAGTCATCATTGGCTTACGAAAGATCTTCAGTTTTAAATGTGCAGGTTTGTCTATAGAAGTGCTTATTTACCTGGTTATCATGTGAGAATACAAGGCCAGGGGCGGACTGACCATTTGGAAACTCGGGCACTGCCCAAGGGCCCGGGGTCAGTAGGGGGCCCCATGAGATGCCCCTGGTACCTTTTTCATAGGCTTGTTTGGGCAAGGACACAGGGGCCCCATGATCCCTTATTGCCCGGGGGCCCCATGAGTTTGTCAGTTTGCCCCTGTACAAGGCCCAGTGTCCTCTACTACTAGGGAGCCCGTTTATTTCTCCTGTGAGCTGTTAGCATTTTTTTTTTTCTGATCCCACAAGTTAAATTTGTGTTCTGTCCATGCACACTATTTTAGGCTATTAGCATTTTTTTAGCTTGAATGTTTAGGAGCAGAAAAAAAAGTGTTTGCAGCATAGTGTGCAGGGAGTCTAAGATGCATCTCTAGGCAGAACTTTTATTAGGTTGGCTTAGTTCCCTGTTCCAATGACAAAATTCAGTTTTGGCTTTTCCACTCAATTTTCACTTCTAGTGACGATGGTCACCGGGATAACTAGAGGTTGAATAGCCAAGGTGGGAACACAGACAGCACTGACATTGAGGTTTTAAGCTTCCCCCTACCCTATGCAAAGAAGAAACTGCTTTGGATGCACATTTTCGTAACTGAGGGATGGGGGTGGCTATTGGGTAGATTCCGTCACTTCCTGTCCTGTAGAGACGAAGTGTGGAAATATATCCACAGTGAGGTGCCCTCCTGGTCACCAGAATGGGTGTCCCCAATGAGAGATTCTAGTCTTCCTATTTGGATGACATCTAATCTATTTTTTTTTTTTTTTTTTTTTGTCTGAATGATGGTCATCCTAACAAGTGGGATGGAACTCCCAGTGGGGACACACAATTTTATTGACAGATGTTCTAACCCCCTTATTAAACTGTCCAAAACTAGGGTTACAGACATGGACTCAAACTTTGTAGATTATTGTGGTTTGTATACCTGTTTGAGTAACTTCTAAAGTCTAATGGTATATGAGAATGAGTGGGGTATGCGTACTTGGTAAATATATCCCCAAATGTATTAGGAGTGAGGGTGGGGGAAGATCACTCAACATTTTTCTTGTCATGACCTCCAGAAAATCTATTGTAGATCGGCAAGAGCTCGTTCAAGTTTGCATGGATCCTGGATAAGCTGAAGGTGGAGAGGGAACGTGGAATCACCATTGACATCTCCCTTTGGAAATTCCAAACAAACAGATATACTATCACCATCATTGATGCTCCTGGACACAGGGACTTCATTAAAAATATGATCACCGGCACATCCCAGGTGTGTGACTTCCATGGTATTAATGGCAACAAGGCTTTGGGGGATTTTTGGTCCTGGGTTCAACTGTCAAAACCTCATCCACATGGCATGCTTCCACTTTAGAGCTAGCCAGACTGTATTCATTGAGGTCTAAGAATGTCTGGCTTGAAGTATCAGGCACACCTGAATCAAAGATCTTGTGTTCATGGTGTTCTCTTGTGTAGACATTCTGGAAACAAACCTCTATTGAGGTTCTTGCTTGGCGGTAGTTCATAGCAGACTGTGGCAGAATTACTGCTGATGCTTGAGAATCTCATCCAAAGGCCAAAAAAATGCCTCTGGATCACAAAACTAATCAAAGTAGGACTGTACAGCTGCAGATGAGTCTTCTATTACAAGCACTAAAGTGTAATTATAGCCAAATATTTGTGAAATATTTTCTTCACTTCTGTAAACTTGTAATTCCATAATGGACGTACTAATCTCTCCCCTCCTATCCAAAAGTTGAAAGTTCGTATAGATACTCTAGGGTCCAGTCACATTTGTGCAGAGAGTGGCACCCCATGGCACTTAAGTAGCGTGCATGATTCACTACATACATTGCTGCATTTCCTTTCCATTGCAAAAAAGGTCATTGGTTTTTCTTTGTTGTGGTGTGTTGGCAGCCCTTTTGTTCTAAATGAAGCACCTTGACGCAATTGCTCAAGAACTAATGTGGCTTCCTCATCCGTTTTTAGATATTAAAGGTCTTCTTGGTTTCAGGCTGACGTGGCTGTGTTGGTGGTGTCTGCTGCCACAGGTGAGTTTGAAGCTGGAGTTTCCAGGAATGGGCAAACCAGAGAACATGCTTTGTTGGCCTACACCATGGGTGTTAAACAGCTAATTGTCTGCGTGAACAAGATGGACATGACCGACCCACCATACAGCCAAAAGAGGTTTGATGAAGTGGTCAAGAATGTGACAGTCTACCTCAAGAAGATTGGCTACAACACCACCACCATTCCATTTATCCCTGTGTCTGGGTGGACTGGAGAGAACATATCTTCTCCCAGTCAGAAGGTAATATGTGAATCTGAAGTGTGATTGCATCTAGGGGAGAGGAAAAAAAGCAATGTGTAGGCTTAAACGATGGGGTGCTCATGAATGTTCTTGGTAAACAATGACTTGTTACCACTTGGACAGTCTTGTTTGTGTAGAAAACATCTACCATGTAGCACACTCCTGTAAATGATAGCTGAGCTATTCACCATTATATCATAATATCATTGGTGTCATGTAGCCGTATTCAACTTATCTCTTCTCTTTCAGATGGGTTGGTTTAAAGGCTGGAAGGTAAAACGAAAAGAGAGCTTTTCAAAAGGCCAATCTCTGCTTGAGGTCCTTGACTGCCTTGTTCCTCCAGTGCGTCCAGCCAACAAGCCACTTCGCTTACCCCTACAGGATGTTTATAAAATAGGAGGTGAGATGTCACAAACATATTTGAGCTCAACTTGAGCACTTTCAGATGCATCTCTGGATACCATGGATATGCATAGAGAAGGGTCCCAAACATGGCACACCTAGCAAAGCCATTTTTTTAAAACAAAAAAAGTGAAAGCGGCTTCATGCTCAGACATGGGATATGGCTTTGGATGAAGCGGGCTAAAACTGGCCATACATTATACGATTTCTTTCTACAATTTTTTTTCCCTTTTTTTAATATTTACCAAAACCTTATGAGGTCAAATCTAAACACTCTAAATTTGTATGCAATCAGGCAGACCCTTGCACTACGAAGTTGAAGACAGATATAAAGAAAATTGTAGAATGTACGGTCAGTCTATTGGCTTTGCTAGGTGTGTGGTGTTTGGGACCTTTCTCAATTCATATCTACAGTATGTGAGGAGTTGGACAGACTCCAGCCTCTATTTCAGAAATCACTGGATGGATTTACAGGCGCTTGAGCAGAGATCAGTTTTGAGATCTCTGGATACCACTTCATACTCTGTATCCATGATTTCAGGCTTTCCACTACTATAGAAAACTCTTTACATACATTTTACATCCCAACACTGGTTCATGTGACTTTGGTGCAGATATTTTAACAAAAGTGCTTTGCTGCTGACTGAATTATTGTGATTAGAGTCTCCAAAACCTTTTGTTGCCTAAACAGTCTGGCACAGGAGCAGCTCATTGCTCATTAATTGCATCTACCACACTCCTTAACCATTGCCTTAGATTTGGGGATCAGTCACTAGGTAGATGCACTATATTGCCAAAAGTATTGGGACGCCTTCCTTTACACGCATGCAAACTTTAATGGCATCTCAGTCTTAGTCCGTAAAGTCAAATTTTGAGTTGGCCCCGCCCTTTGCAGCTATAACAGCTTCAACTCTTCTGGGAAGGCTGTCCACAAAGTTTAGGAGTGTCTATGGGAATGTTTGACCATTCTTCCAGAAGGGCATTTGTGAGGTCAGGCACCAATGTCAGATGCGAAGGCCTGGCTCACAGTCTCCTCTAATTCATCCCATAGTGTTCAGGTCAGGACTCTGTGCAGGCCAGTCAAATTCCTTCACTCCAAGCTTGCTTCTCCATGTCTTTATGGACCTTGCTTTGTACACTGGTGTGCAGCCATGTTGGAACAGGAAGGAACCATCCCCAAACTCTTCCCACAAAGTTGGTAGCATTAAATTGTCCAAAATGTCTTTGGTATTCAGATGCCTTAAGGGTTCTCTTCACTGAAACTTGGGGGGCCAAGTCCAACCCCTGAAAAACAACCCCACACCAACTTTACACTTTGCACAATGCAGTCAGGCAAGTACCGTTCTCCTGGCAACCGCCAAACCCAGACATGTTCATGGGATTACCAGACAGAGAAGCATTATCCATCACTCCAGAGAACACGTCTCCATCTTGTGTGGCCAAATGATTGTGAATGCCAGACATCACACATACCATATAGCCAAAGGCTTGTTAAAGCCTCTACAAATTGAGTAGGGTTTCCAGTGAAGGGTACCTCTCACTATGCAACCTGTGTTCAGACTATTGCATTGTAACAGTCCGGGGAAGGCCATCTTCTGTTTCATGTCTGTGTGCAAATTGTCTCCATAAAGACAACGTGAGTTTAGTGAATTGGTGGCCTGCAATGAGCCCTGACCTCAACCTTGCTAACACTTGAATAATTGCCAGCCAGGACTCCTCACCAAACATCAGTGTCTAACCACAAATGCTCTTTTGGCTGAATGGGTGCAATTCCTGGAAAGCCTTCCAGGAGTTTGGAGGCCACTAAAGTTGCATGGGGGCAACTATACTGATCCCCATGGTCTTGATATGGGACATCCAAGCAGGTCAATGATGTGATGCCCAGGTGTCTACAAACTTTGGCCCATATAGTGCACTGAATACTTGAGTCATTCTCCAATTTACAAAGTTTTAGTACCAATTCTTTCACTGCATGGTGAATGAGTACACTCAAGTTGGATGTTGGTCCCCCTATAACATATAACTAAAATCAGCAATATAAATTTTAGCTGTGTAAATACAATTTCCCCTCCCCCAATGCTTCCTTTTGTAAACTGCATGTAGATCACACTTGTACAACTGTCTCCTCCCCAGGCATTGGTACTGTTCCTGTGGGTAAAATAGAGACTGGGATCCTGAAGCCAGGGATGACCATCTCATTTGCACCCTCAAACTTCACTGCAGAAGTGAAATCTATAGAGATGCACCATCAGCCTCTGGAGACGGCTTTTCCCGGGTACAACATTGGATTTAATGTGAAGAATGTTGCTGTGAAGAGTCTGAAACGTGGAAATGTTGCTGGGAACTCGAAGAGTGACCCACCAACTGAGGCCACCAGCTTCATAGCACAGGTATGCTGCAGTGTCAAGTTCCTACAAATGTATCCCAAACACCAAGTATTAACCAGTGTGAGGTACCCATCAACCGTTTGTACAATGTCCAGACAAAAGGCAAAGGGGGCTACATGGATTTTCAATCCCTCAGGCTGTCCAGACGATGGCAAATGCCAAATGGAGAGACTTCCTCACAAAGAAAGTAGCGCTTAAGTGGCACTGTGACCATGCTAAGGACATTAAAATATAACTTAAAACAAGCCTTTACTGATCACTGTAGCTACTGTGGAGTAGTTGGTATGCAACATCAAATTTTAGTTTTGGACAGGAAAGAGGTGTTGGAGCATTGCAAGGTTTAAAGGTTTGTACTGTGGTTGGTGTCCTGGGGAGTTTCACCCTCTGCCCTGGTACTCTTGAGAAAGGAGAGTAGGAAATGTAAAATTTTAGTGATGGCAGAAGATGTTCTATCAACTAATGGGCACAAATGTTCTGGAGACAATGAAGGTGGGAAGTCACCTTTGGGAAGACTTCTCATTTTTGAGGCCTAAGACAGGAAGTGAACGAAACTTACCAAGTGAGAAACCACAATCTGTTAAGCCCCTCCCCTCTCCCATGTACATATCCTCAGAGGGTTCCCTTGCTTCAGCAGCCTGCATTGGCATGAATGGTGACAGTACTCCTTGGTTATTGGCTGTTCTGGGCTGAGAATTGTCTCCAAGACAATGCACTGTCACAGGGCTGAAGGTCACGTGCTCCTGCACATTTTGAAGCACTGAGTATTGTGTTCTTACAAAGGAAGGAGTGGCGAGGGATCACTGGTAAGGCCTCATGCACAATGCTGCATAAATGGGAGTTCAAGAGCTTTTGGTGTTTTTGCCAAAGCCCCTGAACTCTAGTCTGTACATGGACACAAAGGCTTTTATCTGAGTTGAACAGCAGCAGAGTTTAGGCACAGTTAAACATCCCTCTTCTGAATGCAAAAGAATCTCGTTCAGGAGAGGAACGTTTTGGCCCAAAAAACTGACTGTGTAAATGTGCCTAAGCGCTTGGGTGTTCATTTCAATGGCAAGTACTCTGGTCAATGTAATGACTAAATGTCCAAGTGCTAAATGTTGTACTGCGTTTACATGCACTTGACGTGTTCAGTATTGGCAGCAGAAAAATGTTCCAGTGTACATGGAGCTTAAAAATGTATAAAGGGTTGGGGAGGCCTTTCCGGAGACTAGGTAACATTCTTAAAGGGGTAAGTGCACTTTTTTTTTTTTTTTTTGTAGGTTAAAGTGCATGTTTTGATGCAGGAGCCTGTAAACTATTGCACCAGCAATCGGCAGATCACTGGTGCCATGCAGGACTCCTGCAGACCTGTCAGTATATCTGCTTGCCTGTATGTATGGCCAAGCAGATATACTGGCAGGAAGAATCCATAAACTACCATGGTGCTCATTGATAACTGAGAATTAAGTTCATGGGAGTACAAACAGACAGCCACTAAGGCTGTCAGGACTTGTAGTTTTTTTTTTTTTTATTCAGAGGACTGAGTGATGTGGCGGGAGCCCTGCACAGCTGCGTGTGACAGCTGGGGGGGAACTTGGGAAGTGGAGACCAGTCTTGGTTACATGTTACACCCTGAATATGCATTTAACATGTACAACTTGGTGCGTGTACAGCCCAAATGTTCAGATATTGGATAATTTTAAAGGTTTAGAACTCAAGTGTTTGTCATAGCTTGGTAGATTCATCCTTTGTCCTGGGGACTGTCATTACACATGCAGGGGTGGGCCAGATGGGTGGGTGCAGTGGTATTTGTGAGGGGTGGCACACCACATAGACAGTTCCTATCTACAAGCTGACAGGAGTAGTGACGGCAGCTTCATTACTCCTGTCAGCTTAGTGCTGGAGGAAACTAACCAGACCTGGTGAGGAGAGCTGGGAGGAGGGGCTGGCTGTAATTTCTCATTGGGACTGATGGATCCCCACTGTGCAGTGTTTTTGAGCCCCCCCAAAGCAGAGCATGTGGGTAAGAAAACAGTGGAAATCTGGCAACCAGTGGCATCTTGTGTGCCCCCCTATAACTCCCTAGAGTGCTTGAATTTTATTGGGGGGGAGGTTGGTGCAGTTTGGTATCTTCACCCTGAGCCCTCTGTCACAGCACTGCAGTGATGGGACAAGTAATGGTCCACATAGCAGGTTCAGGATCTCTAAATGGGGACACCTGTTCCTCCCACTTCTATCTCTGGGACAGGAAGTGAAGGGAAATCTTGACAATGAGACAGATCGCAAAATGGTTTTAACCTTTACAATACATACTCAAATCCTCCTTCCTGTCTTGGTCCTCCAAATTGAATTACTTTACAGTGCATTGAGCTTGTCCTAAACTTGTCTTGTAGGTGATCATTCTCAACCATCCTGGTCTTATTAAAGCTGGATACTCCCCAGTCATAGACTGCCACACAGCCCACACAACCTGCCAGTTCTCAGAGTTGCAGGAGAAGATTGACCGCAGATCAGGCAAAAAACTGGAAGATAACCCAGCAGTGCTGAAATCAGGAGATGCTGCCATTGTGAAGCTGAAGCCCATCAAACCATTCTGTGTGGAGAGATTTTATGACTATCCTCCCCTAGGTGAGTACCCAGCTCTGTACTATCCCTACTTCTGGTGTAGGTAGAGGACCTAACCGCAAGTGGAGTGTCTGGTGCAAAACTGAAACTGCTGAATACGCTACAAAGAATCTGATATTATGCAGGATTGTTCTTGACCTTCTGGTGCAGGTGAAAAACAAACACCCTACAAAGAGGAGTTGTGAAAAAAAAAATTTCACAGAAAGTTACATGGACAGAATGTGATACTCAGAATTCCCAAAAATTATGCTTTATTACACAATTATAAGTAATAGGGTAAATACCCTGGTTCACCATCACCTCAGTATGAGAATTTCTCATACTGAGGTGATGGTGAACCAGGGTATTTACCCTATTGCCTATAATTGTGTAAAAGCATAATTTTTGGGAATTCTGCGTATCACATTCTGTCCATGATGTAACCACTTTCTGTGAAATTTCTTTTTCACAACCCCTCTTTGTATGCATGTCTTGGTTACTGGGGAGAAACCATATACTGGGTGATACAGCATTTTTATGAACCTCTACCCTCTTATTCTTTGAAGAACAAACGCCTAGCCTGTTGATTGAATATTCCCAGAAATGCTCCTACAGTTGCAGTCTTGTACAGCTGTTCAATCTTTTGGGGGCCGTTTATAAAGGCAAATTCGAAACTGAGTGACACTTTACAGTAAATGTTGAGTTGGGTTTTTAACCACTTATGACAATTTAGAAGTTTTTCATTGTAAAATCAGCATTTTTGCTAGAAAATTACTTGGAACCCCAAACATTTTCTGAAAGCAGAGGTCCTGGAGAATGGTGGCTTTGGAATTTGTCACACCATATTTGCACAGCCCATTAAAATGCAAACTTTCAGGAGAAATTACAAATGAATTCTAGTGTACACAAACACAATAGAATACCCAGCTTTTGTAAAATATAAGATGCCAAGTAAATACTAAATGTCAAGATTTTAACTGCACATGCCTGTGAAATGATCACAAGCTACAGTAACAAATGGTCTATAGGTGACGCTTTTACAAGTTAGTTTAGAGTTTGAATTGGAGTCCTAAAATTACTGCTGAGACCTTTGTGGAGATGCCACATGTGGTGCAATCAGTTTATGTATGCTCGCTAGACTTATTGGACCCCTGATGCCCCCCCACAAATGAGCACATGTCATGATCACTTGGCTGAGTCCCAGCCAGGGAATGGTGGCTCTCAAACCGGAAGTGTCCTTGTCAGAGGACAGGCCTACCTAGAGTTTAGGTTTTAAGGAATATGGAAACTGCCTCTAGTGCAGTGAAACCACTCAACCATGGCTTTCTGGCTCCTGTGAATAGGTGCAGTTCTCTGCTGAGTCGCTCCTTTTTGGGGGTTATTTACGCAAGCTGGAAAGTGAAAAACCTGGTGCAACCTTGCAAACAAATCGGCTTTTAGGTAAGGTTGCCAAGCTTTAATGGAACAAGCTGAAGTTAGAATCTGATGCAGCTGTACATGGTAGCCAGTTTGCTTCTAAGTGCACCGGTTTTGGTAAACCTCCCCCTTGTCCTCTACCCACCTTCAGTACTGCTCCTTGTAAAGAATACAGAACCAGGTATTTTGTGGTGCTAATTTTTATGGAATTAATAAAAACAATAAAATGGATCCTACAACTGCATCTCTCCCTCCAATTGACTTCACCCCCTTCCCCCTACAACCATGGATCCCCCAACAGCCAGCAACAGACCCTCCATCATGGCCAACTACCACTTGCATTCAGTGCTAGAACTGCTTTCCTGCAAAAAAGCCACGCAGGTAAGACTGTCTGTTCTTTGCACCCCAAGGCTCCCATTGCCCTTTTTCAATAAGAAAAATACACTGCCCAACTATCTTTTCAACTATGGGCAGTTGGAACATGGTGAGGGTGGAGAAGCAGTGTTAGTCTAGTAATGGAGGACTTTACTATTGGATGGAACTAAATTTTGTATATAGGCTAGTTGGAGCTGAGACTGACTAATCTTGCTAAAGTTGAGGCTTGGTTTCCCAAAATAGGGTTTTTCTTTAAATTCCTTTTGTTTGGAACTAGGAATGGGGGTTACACAAGCTCTTCTGTGATGGACTAGAGGGTCACCTGCAGCTACCAGGATCAGGAAATTTCTACTGACCATTCACACTAGAATGGTGCTTCCACCACTACCCGGGAATTGGCATTCAGATTTTCTAAAGATGGCCATGACGTGATCATATACAAAGGATTACAATGTGAGGTTTGTTGCAGTCTGTGTAGGTTTATTGTAATGGCATGCAATTTTGTTTGCAGGGAGATTTGCAGCGCGGGACTTGAAGCAAACTGTTGCTGTAGGTGTTGTGAAATCTGTGGAGAGGAAGGCGAGCAGTCTGGCCAGAAGACAGGCCCAGAAACCCATCCTGGTCAACTGAGGAATAATACTGTTCTGTGTCAAGTGGTTTGTTTGTTTTTTGTTTTTCTCCCCTTTTTTATGTAAGGCAGCAGATAAAGCTGCTAATACAGTGACACAAATTATGTTAAGTCTTGTGTTTAATAAAATGTACAGCAAGCAGTAAGTGGTCTGTCTCGTGTCATGGAAAGCATTTTTCTGGTCAGGTTTTTCACTCCCAGCAACCTTGTACTTGCACAAAGCATCCTTCCAATGTAAGGGGAATTAACAGCTCTAGTAAAGGCTATTGTGCTCCTGGTATGTCTGACATTTTTACAATTCCAGGCTATTTGGTTAGTAGTCAGGAAAATGTTCTGTCCAAGAACATGATAGGAGGTATGGAACCACCCACATCATTGTATGGTACCAAGAAGCCTTGAACAGGTTGAGCTGTGTAGCTGACAGTGTAAATTGTGAAGTTCTGGGGGTAGAGAACTGCATAAAATGTTGAGACATGGGAGTACCAAGGTCCCCACCCCTGTTAAGGATGGTTGTTTGTTGTAAATGGCCTCTACCAACTGTAGGGCTTGAACCACACTTGTTTAGCAAAGTAGAAATGTCAGGCCATCCAATTGACTGAATTGTCTGAAGAATGGTTGCACAGAACTAAAATTGGCAGATTAAAGTCTCTATACATATATTGTGACATTCTAGGTGCATAATGGTGTTTTTAAAGTGGACTCGAGACAATTTGAAAGTCTCTCTTGCAATGGGGCTGTGCCTGCACTGTGGGGGTTACCTGCTCATTTGCACCTGGTGGGCATTAAAAAGTTGATTTACTTACCCAATCTGCCATGCTGGTAGACCAATCCCTGTCTTTGGGTCCTGATGTTGACTGGTGCAGGATCCATAGTTCTGCATTGGATGATGCCAAGGGCCAGTCCACTGCAGTAGCATAGAGGTGCTGTCTGCTGGGGAGTAGAGGATTGAGTAAGAAAAGCACTTGTACTCTCCCCCCTAAAATGAGCTGCATCTACACTGCAAGGGAGAATTTTCAGTTTCCTGGAGTTGGCAGAGAATCTTCCAATAATGCAAGTGTACAATCCATATGCACATGTTCCTGCATTAAAAATGGCTGTGTGTATAAGTGGGTGCTGCAGCGACTATCGGCTGGAACAGAACAAAATCGGCAAGGGAGAAGTCACCAGCACATCGAGGATCACCAATATGGGTCCAAAGATTTTAATGAAGGATCACAGTTACAGCAAGGCAATGTTTCATTGTCTCGCAGGACCCCTTCATCAGACATGAAGTCACATGCCTGGTGAAGGGGTCCTGCGAGAGTCAAACATTGCCTTGCTGTAACTGTGATCCTTCACTAAAATCTTTGGACCCATATTGGTGATCCTCGATGTGCTGGTGACGTTTTTCCTTGCAAATCTTCCAATAAGACACTGTTGTCAGATGTTAATTGGGGATCTAATCCTTCCTGCATCCAAAACCTTTTTAGGCTCAATTTACACCAATGTTTTAGAGAAACACTACAGTCCATTTAACATGGTTTCCTCTGGAACACATTCACATTTTGAGCTGCATTTTTGGAAAGGGCAGACTTTTTTTTAAAAGCAAAAAGCAGTGTTTTGCTAAAATAGTTAAATGAAGCTGCTGAAATGTTTTTAGCGTTTTCTATTCTGCCCAGCAACAAAGCAGAAGAAAATGCAGTAAAAACACAAACTAATGCAGGCCATAGATGGGGAGAAAAACGGCAGATTTTCGGGCCGATTAACGAAACTATCGGTCGGTCTAAAAAACTTACCTGACCACCAATTATTACGAAAAATCGGCCGATTAATGAGTAACCTATAACGGGAAATGATGTCATTTTGTGGCCTTTGTGATCCTTTTTCGGAAAACGATCGTTCGTTTTTGACCATCAATGAGGATAAAGTCGGGCGTTTTTTTCGAAAATTTTCCAACATCACCGATAATCTGAAAGTCCAAAATACACGAAAAACGGCCGACAAAATCGTCCACTAACGATAAGATAATCGGCCGGTTTTATTTTCGGACGAAAAATCGGCCGTTTTTCTCCCCATCTATGGCCTGCATAACTGCCTTCTGTCAGAGTTTTGCAGTGCTTTTTTGCAAACTGCATAGTTGTGAACTGAGCCTTTTAAATGTACTAATTTGCCTAAATTTGGGTAGATATACTGCCCCCCTCCACTATTTATTTCAGGTACTTATATAGCGCCGTCGATTTACGCAGCACTTTACACATATATAGTACATTCACATCAGTCCCTAACCCTCAAGGGGTGTACAATCTCTAAGGTCCCTAACTTGCATTCATACACATATTGGGGCCAATTTAGACAGGATCCAATTAACCTACCAGCATGTCTTTGGCGTGTGGGAGGAAACTGGAGTACCCAAAGGAAACCCACGCAGGCACAGGGAGAACATGCAAACTCCAGGCAGGTGATGCTGTGGTTGAGATTTGAACCAAGGACCCTAATACTGCCAGGCAGAAGTGCTAACCATTTATCCACTGTGCTGCCCACTAGAAGTGGATGTTATTAGAACATATACCAGCAGACAAGGAGGAGTCTGATGAACCTAGCTCAGATGTAACGCATATTTGTAATGAGCCTCAAGCTTTGGTAACGTTATAGGTGCAGATGCTGTGTGGCAACATAATCCATACATTTTCCCCAGATAATGTATAGAATGGAGACCATGTAATCCAAACTTCATGTTGGGGAAGATTGCTAAATGTGTTGCAGCTGTGTATAGTAACTAATCAGGTTTTATTGTCAAAGCGTAATTGAACAAGATGAAGTTAGAAGCTGATCGGTTACTGTGCACGGCTGCACCTGATTCTTTGTGCAGGGGATGACAGATTTCCATATAAATGGATCTTGTGCTGAACTAAGCACATCAACATCAGCATTTCTGAACAGTCTCCTGGTCACATCAAACCAGACATTGAAATAATGCAACTTCAGTAAGTCACAGGATTTCAAAGTTGAATGGCATGCCAATTTCAGGTGAGATTTGCAAGACCTCTGACACAAATGTCTATGCTAATTGCACCAAAAGTAGTTCATGAATTATAGAAATTGGTGCGGCTCTGACCAAGTCAGAACTGCACCAATCTGACTGCTCTAATTGCTGACAATAGGGTGTGACTTGGCATGTGATTTCAAGTCGCATGCCAATTTGCATCCAGCGTGACCTGGGGTGTAAGGCCTCATGCATACTGGATATTTTTACAGCTGCTGCTTCTGGTGTTTTTTTGTTTTCCCCTTACAGCCAGTAAACTTGCCACCATGTTCTCCTGTGTCCATGCACACATAGGCTGTAAAGTGTTTTCTGGTTGTAAAACTTAGTATCTTCCATTTTGCTTGAGGTGATTGTAGCCGTATTAGTGCATTTGCGACAAACAATTGTACTGTCTGTGATACTTTTTTTTTTTTATTTGCACTAACCTATATTATGACCCAAAAATGTCATACAAAATTGTTAGTGCAAATAAAAGTATCACGGACAGTACTCAATTGTTTCTGGCTGTAAAAAAAAAAACCTCAGAAGTAGTTGGTTTCAAGATTTTTTTTTTTTTTTTTAAGCTATAAAAATGCTCAACTTTGATTAAAAGCTGAAAAATGCAAATATCTGTTATTTGAGCCTGAATATGTTGGAGTATAACTTGCAATAAAAAAAATTCTCATGTTTTTGCATTAGCTTTTTCCAGCAGCATTCTACAGCCAACACTGCTGGCATTTTTAGAACATCCAGTGTGCATGAAGCCCAAGATGTACAAACTTGAAAGTTCTTGTGGGTTGCGAGTGTTCCCAGGAATCTGTGAGGAGAAGCCTCTCCAGAAGCCAGAGCTGTGGTATTAAGTGTTTATTTGAGGTGGGAGTAGTTTGTAGGGCAGAACTTGGATTTTCATGCGAAGGATTAAATGCAGTGGTGTACATGCTGCCACCATTCAATTCTATGGCTTCTGGTTAGTGTGCAAAACTAGTCACGCACAGCCTTGTAGTGGGAGATCTCTGGTATTTAACGAAGTTGAACCTGGATGTGTAGGTATACAGTGCCTGGGGCCCAAATTAAGTTTTTGGGTTTTCTTTTTGGATGGCCTGTACTGGGGGAAAAAAGACTTACAAGGTGTGTAGATCTATTTCAAACACAATGTGAGGTATCAGCATGTTGTATATGACATACTTGCTGAAAATCGCTGACGTAGATTCTGATGCTCCAGTCATCTCAACTTACCTCTGGGTTCCATGCTGTGTGGCCAGCCTGCTGCCTTCTGCACACACAAGGGGGCATCTATTGAATTGTTTTGCAGTTTCTAAATTAATGCAGAACGTTTCTGATTGAATCAGGTGGGGCACATGATATTGCCCCCCCACCCAATCAGAACATGCAAAGTATTCTCTGAATGGGAGATGACCACCTGTGTACACAATGCAGGAGAGCAGCTGCCCCTGCCCAAAGCCTAGAAGCTAGGGGAGAGGGCCAATTGAATCATGCTTTGCTGGTTTTTTTTGCCTTCCTCTGGATCAACTGTGGGTGTAGGATTATAACTTTTTTTTTTTTTTACATGTTTGAACTGGATGGACTTTTTTTTTTTTTTAAGACAGGACTACCCTAGTGTTAAAAAAATAAAAATTTGGGGGCAGTTAAATATAAACAGTTGCATATTGATATTTTGTATTTTTCAATTATTTTTATTCCTATTACAACCACATAGTTTTAGGCCTTCTTGAACATGTTGTGTAGGCTTACCATCGCTACCATGTAATAAAAAGGCAGCTGCCTATAGAATTTACACATCTAAGTGACTCCTCCCTCATCTCAACTTTTCAAAAGGCTCCATACAAAGTTTAAATTGGAGAAAAAAAAAAAAAAAAAAATAAAAAAAAAATCTCCTGTGAGCTCTTTTAAATAACCCCAAAATACTCTGTATATCCTGTAGGGGAAAAACAAAACTGATCCAAAACCATTTTTAAAGTGACTGAGCTATCCTGCCCAGCT